CTGATAGAATTTTTAACTAAATACTACTGATACCCTTAGACATAAATATAGCATTCTTTGTTAACAAACATATTTTCCTATAAATAAAGTGAAATTCATGATTTATGAGTTTAAATTGCTCATTTAAAGTTGGTTCAGGTTCCTCTGAACATACAGATAAGTTGATAAGGCCAAAATTGTACCTAGTGGCTATCTATTTTTATGATAAATTGTGTGCAATAGTTTGAAAATCAATTATTTTAAACTCCCTCAATACATACTCTATTTTTCTTCTGTGTTTAAAATTTCATTACATATCAGACTCAAAGGATAGAATCAGAGAAAGCACAGCTATGATGAGGAGAGAAGAAATTTAAAAGATAAACTTTTAAATAAGCTTTTAAAAATATTGTATCTTGCTTATTTTAATAGGTATAATTTATTATAAATGTTCAATAATTTTGTGTTGCTAACAAATTATGTAAAGTTATAATTAGTTTAAAAATAAATTTGGATACTTAGATTGAGGTATTTTTCAACAGATTCTTTTCACAGTAGAGAAGTTTTAGTTTGAAATCAATAAACTTGGTAAACATTTTCTTTTTATATTCTAGTTCTGTCCTAATCTTTGTATCATTGAAGCTGTCCTACTATGTACAGTATTTTGCTGGGGATAATGTGCACATTTTTGCCCAAATTTTTGAGGGAAAAATAAAGATATGCATTATACTGGGTATAATGATTATATACCATGGGTATAATAATCCCGTGTGCAATGCACCCAAAAATGTGGGTGAACATTATACATGACAGAATACGGTAGATATTTATTTAGGCTTCATTTTGAAAGGTATCTCTCCTGCCCCCAATGTAAACATTCTAAGACTCCTGTGACCTTTAAAAAGCCTTCATAATATGATCAGCTTTTAATTATGTCAAAAGTTTTAATATGCACTTAAAGTTCTGAGGCTTCTCTTTCATTGTCAGAAATCTTTTTAACAAATGCTTGCTATTTTAGGATATATGTTTACTCTAGTACAATTAAACCTGATAATAGAACCAATTACATCTCTGTTGTAAATGTTGATAAATGGGAACATTAGCCAAATCAACAGAGTTTCAGAAAGTATCATACATCCTTGTTAAAAACTGTATTTATGGATAAATATGTTCTTTGTATGTGCCCTTTTAATTAAGTTGATTGCAGATTATTATAGTTGCTTGAATTTGATGTGTTCAGTTGAAATATAATACTTAATGCATTACATTGGTAAGAGAAAATTTTTTGATTAACACAAAATTTTACATAAAATCTGACATTGGTTCTCATGAACTAACCAAATCTCTTAATGAAAGTGATTATTTCATGTATCACTTTATCTTCAGTATATTGTTTTTATTTTAATGACCACTATGGACAGCTTTCGTATATTTAAAATGTTATACTTCTTTATTTGATTAAAAGCCCATTCTTTTCATAGATGGCACCTTGATAGTATCTTAAATTTAAAAATATTTGTTCAAAAATAACTTACTATAAGTTATGAAATGCCATTTGTTATTCATTATATTTTATAAGTGCCATCTATTTCAGTATATTATGTGGAAGTCTTTTATTTCTCTTTTGTAGTTCATATTGTAGAATTAATCTCCCTCCCCACCTCCCCACCACCGCTGCGAAAACTCCCCACAAAACTGTGCATTCTCTTTACAAAGTCTTTATAATTCCTAAGTCTAAAACTAAGATCCAGACATAATTGTGACAGTAAGGACACCAAAGGAAGGTTAAACTTTCACTCTCCTTAATCATTCTAACTGGTTATTGGTTAAATAAACCATTGGAAAGAGTTCTCATGAGAACTGTTATTAGCAGCACTGAAAAGTACAATGTTTGGCTGTGGCAAAGTAATGATTAAAGGAAAAGTAGGGGGTTAGGAAGAATAGCAGATTAAGAGGAGGTAATCTTAGCTTCTTAAGATTCACTGAGCTCTGTGATTCGTTACAATAATGTGTGAAATAAGTCTTTATATTTTATTACTATTTAAATAAGATATGGCTATTTAAATATTAGTTGACTATATATTTTTAAAGACTGTTTTAACACAAATAGTGTATAATAAAAACTGTAACCACAAGAGACACAAGAAATCCAAAATGTATTTAAAATATTTTTGGTATTAATGAACAAAATAAACTAACAAGCAAAGTAGGGGCGGACTCATAGAGCAGGCTGACAGCTGTTGGGGTGGAGGGGCAAGGAGGTGGGGCTGGAAGGATTGGGCAAAAAATTTAAAAAAGAGAAAAACCTCACAGACACAACAACAGCATGGTGATGGCTGGGAGGGAGGAAGTGTGAAGGAAGGTGGCTGAAGGTACAGAGGGCATGAATGGTGATGGATGGAGAGTTGGCTTGGGGTGGTGAACACAATGTAGTGTACAGAGGATGTGATGTAGAACTGTGTACCTGAAACCTATGATTTTGTTAACCAGTGTCACCCCAATAAATTCAATGAAAAGGAAAAATAAATATATTTGATATAACTGTAAGCTATACATTGAGATTTCATGATTTAAATGAATATTAAATCTGCTAATTAAAATTAAATCATTTCTATATAAGATTAGTTAAGATCTATTAATGAATCATATTCACATAAATGATAGAGAAATGATTTAATGGCCACTTTCACTTAGTAGTGAGATCATTGCCAAATCTGTAATTTTCATCCTTTCATACACTATAAATTTTGTATAATTTTTAAAAAATATTAAATTATTGGTGATAATTGTTACTGTGTTCTCACAAAAATAATAACATTGGTGAATGACTTGCCTAGTTGTAGCATGTACCTCTTTTTAAGAATATTCTAATTAAGTACCATGTAATAAAGTGTCAAGTTCAAGTTTCACCACGAAAAGATTTTTTATTTTTTTCCTTGTTTGACTTTTTATTTCACATGTTTTTATTGGGTCATATAGCATCTAGTAGAAAGAAAATTGACCTGGTAATCAGGAGACCTCTGTTCTATCTCTGGTTCTGCCATTGAACTTGTTTTGTGACCTTGGGTAAGTCACTTGAACTCTCTGTGTCTCGCTTATTCTCTATTATAAATTAATAAGTGGGTTGAGGAGAATTTTGAATTCATATAATATAAACATTGCTCCAGTGTCATTATAAAATAATCCAAGGTACAGGAACATATGAGGTAGAGAAACTTTATTTATTTATTGTTTTTATGTTTTATACAAAAGATATTTTCTTAGAGATGGAATATCTGTGAGCCGTTATTTTATCCAATTTATATTGACTTTATTTTAACGTGAGGAAACTATTGTAATAGTTGATAAATATATCTGTAGAAAAATTTTGCATAGACTAATGCAAGGTCTGATACAATTCAGCTAACATGATATTTACATATCTGTGATTTTTTTTCTGTCTTTGAGAAATGGGTGGACTGGGGATGGAAGAGAAAATATGGCATATATCATACTAATGTATAAGGGTGTTGCAGGAGGACAGTACTTTGCTAGTGTTCAATCCTATTAGTAGAATCCGGGTTGTACTATAAGTATGATGAGATTTAGTGTCTAATTTTGAAGAGTTCAGAGATGTGCTTGTATAATAATAAAAAATGTATTGTCAAGTTTCAAAATGTGTTCCTTTGTCAGTTCTCTGTATTCATACTAGGATTTCTCTTTTTTCTAAGAAAGAAATTTTGGTCATGTTTATACTTTTTCCTAGTGGAATGTTTTTATTTTCTCACTATTCAGGAAAAGAGATAAATTTGTTGTAGGACAGAATGCTCTCAAGTTAGAGTTCCAATACATCAGCATTCCAAGTACAGATTGATATAGTTTTCTATAAATCACTTAAAAACTATGATACAGTTATTGCAGAAGTGAATGTGTTTTCATTTAATAATTTTGGGGTACCTGATCCAAAGCTAAGTCAGTAATTAAAATAGGAGATTTCAATTTTTGTATTACATTGTTTATCTGTGTCAATCATACCAATACTAACTCACTAGTATCTTTGGGACAACTTTATTTTGAGTGCTGAAATTAGCATACATTTTCTGCTTTAAATCACTGTATAAAATGTTTTTTTTTGGATTTCTCTACTGGCAATGGGGAAATAATGTTTCCAAAGTCTGTGCCATGTCTGTTAGAGTAGGTGTTGGATTTGGATGGGCAAATTTGAATAGAAACGTTGATGATCCATTATGTGGTGTCTATGAGAACTTTTTAATAAATAAACATTATAAGGGAAGCATTATAAAGAAAATTTGCCTAAATTGAAGGTTAGTTTGAGTTTTTAATATTTAAATAAGGCCATGTGTTTCAGCTACTCTTCTTATAATGAATTTTATTATGTATGTCACTCTCCATAATGTTATGATAATATTTGTGTATCAAAGTAATTTAGTGAAATAGTGGCCTGATGGCCACACTTTATTTCCATGGTTGCACTGATCAGTTTGGGAAATTTAGAAGGCATAAAATCTGTTGAACTATGTGTATTGCTATTTTTGAAGATGTTTCAATTAAAACTTATTTTGTAGACAATAAATAAAACTTTTAAAAGCATTTTTCACAGATCTTAAATAGAATCAGTAATGTCTTCAACAATAAAGTCATACAAGTAACCTGGTATTCATTAATGATATCTCTCTTCCGCATCAGAATTCAAGATTGGCTGTCCACAGATAATGATAAACTTTTGAATCTTTTTTTCCTATACTAACTTTATTTTTCTGATTCTGCTAACCCATAGTAGCTTAACCAAGTCACCATCAGTTCTTCTGTAGTTCTTTTTCTTTTCTTCTCTTTTTCTTTCTTTTTCTTTTTTTTGGTTAAATATGGTGTGTGTTTGATTATATCTTCCCTACCATTATGCACAGGATTCTTTCTCAAAATGACTTGGGGCTCTTTCCTTCGGTGTCATTTTACCTTTTGAGTACATCCACTCACACCCATCTCCTTTGTCTATGTCTGTCCTTTACACGATGTGATCACAGAAGAAGCGGACTCCACAAGGAGAAGACATGCAGGTCTGTCTCTTCTACTGCTTTTCTTTTATCTAACTTGTCTTAGAAATTTTTTTACTCTTTTTTTATTCATTTAATTTTTCCTTCTCCTCTAATATAACAAATGTTAACTCTTGCAGCCATTTTCATTTTAAGTAGTTGTATAGTCAACTTTTATCAACAACTCCAATTAGATGGATGAAAATAAAATGATTAATTTTTGTGGGATATATACATATATTCAATATGTGTATTTTTCCATAGTTGAATATAAATTATATATATATAATCTAGCTATAGTCAGCTAGAACAAATTAAATTAAACAAATTAATTAAAATTTGGTCTTGAATTTATTTAAACTTAAGACTTATGTTCAACTTTTTTTACATAATAACAAAAGTATTTTATTTGTATCATGAGTTCAACAATGTGCTGGACCATGGAAAATACTAAACAAGCTCTCAATATCAGTGGGACTTTAAAATATGTGGGTAATATGTTGTGTTTGTCTGCCAACATAGATGACTAACAAAGGTATAAAGTCAAATAAAATTTATTTTAACTATATAGTCAAAAAGCCTTCATGGAAAAAGTAACATTTGAAACTTGAACATTCATTCAATACTCATTTATTAATAAGCACATGCTGTGTGGTACTTTTCTAAGTGCTGGAAATAACAGGACACAAAATGGCCCCCTATCCTGTGGGCTTTTCTAGTGTGGGTCTAACAATTAAACACAATAATAGTACAGGTAATATGATATATATAAGTGGGATTACAAAGTGTGATAATTTCTGCCTGAAAAACATAGATATTAGTTCAAAAAGACTTCACAGAAGAGATAACCATTGAGTTAAATGTTAAAAACTAAATGGGTGTTTGCCTCGTGTGTAGAGAACGTTTCAGGCAGAGAAAACGATGTAAGCAAAATGATTCAAACAAGTTCAGAAAAGTAGGCAGTGAGAGTTTTGAAGATGTAGGTTATTGAAGCATATAAAGTAGAGGAGGAACAAGATCAGGTATTTGTTTCCAGAAAGATTAGAAGCTATATTTTAAAAATTGTACCTGAGCAATATAAGCATCAAGATCATTTATGAGATATGGCATCAATCAATTAAGAGGTAATAATGGGCTGAATTAAGGTATCAACAGAGACTATTGGTACATGAGAAGTTATTTTAAAATGTAGAGTCTCTAAGGCTTATTAGATATTAATGATGCAGGAATAGAAGCCATTAAAATAAAAATCTCAGATGACTAAAATGTTTGGATAGATGGTGGTACATTTTATCAAGATAGAGAATATAGAATTTAGAGGGAAAATAAAATATTTGGTAGTTACAAAATAGTCATGGGGGTATAAAGTACAGCACAGGAAATATACTCAATTATATTATAATAACTGTATGGCGCCAGGTGGGTACTGGAAATACCGGGGGAAACACTTTGTAAAGTTAATGGTTGTATAACCACTGTGCTGTACACTGAAACTAATACAAAATAATATTGAATGTAAACTGTCATTGCAATAAATAAATACATAAATAAAAATTGAAAAGTGCAGTTTGGGGATTAGTTGAGTTTCCTGTGGAAAATTCAGGTATAAGTAGCTATTAGATGTGATTCAATGTACGGGTCTGAACTCAGGAGAGAAGTCTAGACTAGAAACATTAAATATTAGAGTATCCACGCTTAACTAATTCCATAAGAGAGAATGGAATTGCCAGAATCATTTGAGGAATAAGAAGACAGCCAAGATTCAAAATTCTGGGACCATCAACATTTATTTATATTTAAAGAGTGGATGAAATAACAAGAGTCAGAAAACTATGCTGAAAACAACCATTCAAAGAGAGTAAGATATCCAGAAAAGAACAGAATTCAAGGAAGGGAACTGTTTCAAGAAGGGTACAATTATCAGGAAAATTCCAGAGGAAGACAAATATGTTGTCAAATGATACAACTAATTAATAATTATCTTTGCCTGATTGGTTTCAGTAAAGTTGTGGAGGCTGGAAGCCACATTGAAGAGAAGGTAAGGGAGATCTAAAAGAAAAAAAAAATGAAGGTGAATGTGGAACAGGTTTCCTGATGGCCTGAGGATGAGACAGGGAATTCACCAGAGATGCATAGCATAGTGACAGTTTAAGTGAAAAACTTAAATTCGTGATGGCATTGATTCTCTAAGATTGTGGATGTAAGGTTGGAAGTTTGTGTGCAGTTTTAGTAGTAAGAAATAGATGAAGCCGCTCATTGTGGCGGGCAAGGAAAATGGTTAGCATGATGTCCGAGATAGACTAGGGAAGATCCTCTCCATGTTAAATCATGTGGTCTTGTTCAGATTCAGAGTTTTCCATGGACTGGGAGAGAAGGACTTCAATGAAAGAGTTGGATTATGTGGAGATATTGAAGGGAATGGAAGCAAATGGAAGATTATTTTCAGAGACTGATTTAACAATGTTTGGAATTCTGATGTGTTAGATAATTCCAAATAATGTAAAGATGCGGGGTTTGGTTTGGGGGGGTGGGTTTGTGAGACACAGCATGGATTACAGTTTGGGAGGTAAAGGAAAGCAACACACTTCGACACTAGGATTTTTACATAGGTATTGAAGTCACTGAAGACCTAAGGTTGATAGAAAATCAATAAAAATTGCCTAGGAAGTAGAGAATAACAGCTAGGAAGTATAATGGTATGAACATAAAGGAGTAGATTTTACATGAAATTAGAAAAGTAAACATGTGGAAGCAGCAATACAGACCTGAAAGAATGCTTAAAACCACTTTCAGTATTCTGTAGTATTTAAGGTATAGGATTTTGAACAGTTTCCCCTCAAAATGTCACTGGGGAAGGTAGTATTCTTGTTGAAGTGTCAGCTTTTCCTTCCACCTCCCTTCCACTAAGAGAGGAAAAGAGCATTCTGTGATGATATTGAGGATGTATAAGATTTAAGTAAAAGGAACAGGGTTTCAGAATCCACAGTGGAAAAGGGTAGGATGTCTGTCTCTAAGTAGTGTGGGGAGAATTAGAGAGAGAAGCTCTGATAGGTACATTGACAGAACAGATTGGAAATGTTTAAGAAAAAGGAATAGATGCTAGGAAAAGGGAGGAAAGTAAGGAATTTAAGCTAAGCTTAGGGAGAGTAAATTCAATAGATTGAATAAAGGAATCTTCATGATATGCATGCCTAACAATAAGAGGAAAGTAGTTGAGGAGTTTGAAGATGGGAAGAGGAGATTATAATGGAAGCAACCTTTCTTAAGAAACAAGTAAGTAGTATCTAGGACACACGTGAAATAGTTAAACTTACAGAGGGAAGAGAACTTTATTTTATTCAAATAATAGGCCCTAAATTATTTCCAATTGTTAACATAATTTGAAACCTTTCTTAGCGTCAAGTTTAAAACTGCAGTTGTAGCTTTATCTCTACAACACTTCCTTTTCGGCTGGCATGAGGAAGCTGAAGAGTGAGTTTTCTCAGATCTAACTGTAGACCTTTAATATTGTTATGTTAGGACTTGGTCTGTATCAATCAGCACTGAATTTAGGACTCCACACTGTCCTAAGCCTAGAGATAAATGAAGCCAAGTGCATTCTGTTTCAAAGGAAATAAAAGTAAAGAGGAAATGATAAAGTTTTAAGAAGAGCCTCCAAAAAAAGAAGGAACTAATTTTTAAAAGAGAAAGCAGTAAATTTTGTAACAAGCAAATTAACATGGATTTCACTTGTTTGAAAGTTACATGTGTTAAGCTTTTCAAAGCCTTACTGAAGTGTGTGACAAATAAAATGTAATATCTTTATTAAGCTATCACATCTCTAATGGATAATGTAAATTGGTATTTTTCCTCTGTTAACACAGCTTATTATTAATTCAACCCAAATGTGATGGAAACATAATTTCATCAGACTAATCATTTCCCTGACATATTAAAGTGTATGTTTATGTTTTATACCACAATTGTTGCATCTTCATTTGTATTAAGAGGTCCTAGTATAGTCACTGCAACATAATTCTACATAATGAATGGAGCAGTGGAGTTAGTCACACATTTTGAAGCAGCAAAAAGAAATTGATTTTTTGCCCTTGCAAATCAAAATCAAGTTTCTTTTAAGTAAGAAGTAGTGAGCTTTATTAAGGTTTACACTTTTCCTTCTTACTCTTATGAAATTTCATATGACAATATTATTTTTTTTAGATAATTATACAAGCCTTAGAGACCATTTAAAGAGAGCCAATGATACAAGAAATTTTTAAAATACTGTTTGGTAAGTTTTAGAAAGCAGCATCTGCTCATGTTTTTATATTCAAGTTTGAACTGCACAAATTTTCAGAATTACGTTCATGCCTTGGGTAAAGCATCTGATGATCTTAAGTGCTTTTGTAATACATAAGTTTTATTCATAAGGATATCTCAAAAATAAAAGATATTTTGTCAGCAATATTTCTTAGTAATCCCTTATATAAATTATTGTTACATTATAATAGCAATTACATTATGTTAATTAATTATTACATTATTATCATAGTTGACGCTCTGCTACGTCCAAGTTTTATAAAACATGTTAAAAATTACTTTTGCAGACTGATCCATTAATCTGCTAGGTACAAATGTTAATTTGAAAAGCTTAACAATTTAAGTTAAATAGATTCAAACACTTCTTAGTAAATATACAATGAGAAATAACATATACTTTGTGTTGTAATTTTAATGCTTTTAAAATTTTTTTAATTTTTAAAGATTTTTTCCGTTTTTATGAGATGTAATTGACATATAATATTGCATTAGTTTAAGGTATACAACATAATGATTTGAATATGTATATATGGTGAAATGATTACCACAATAAATTTAGTAAACATTCTATAAGTCATAATAAAATTATTACTTAACTTTCTGTTAGGGTAGAATAAGGTAAATTTTTCAAAATTAATGAAATTGTATTATTCTTCTTAGCATAAAAAGTTTCTCTTTTTTATTATATTTCTCCGATTAACTTGAATATTGACATTGACTTGTAT